TTCCCAAAAGTCCTGGGCGTTTTGGCTAAACAAAAATCACATCTGGCTGCCATACATTTGTTTACGACTTGTGTAGTTGTGTAGTACCACGTGAGTAGCTGCATGACTTATGAGGAATAACACTATCTGGGCGCATTACTTAGTGGTCACCAACTGGTGGAAAATTTAGTCTACACCCCCACCCCCACCAGATGGGCAAATTTTACCATCATGGGACTGCCATACCCCTCGGTCTACAAATGGTGTCAGATGCAGTGGACTTTTCCTTTGTGTCGCTGATGTACTTTTCCCCCGAGGGCTAAATTCCGTGGTTGACCCTGGCAGCAGCGTGTAGCGGTACGCAGTGCAGGGAAGGCTTACAGCTTGGGAACAGGCGGATCCATATAATGTCAGCCTCTGGCCCGGTGAATGTTTGGGTCCACACTTCCCCCTCCAAAATCTGAGACATCTTTCTGTAACTGCTGTCCATCACCCATGTCTGTGTTCAAGCTGGGAGCCGGTCAGTAAGCAGATTATTAAAACGGAAATTCTATTCTGAGAAAAGACACTAATTTATAACAAAAAGCTGAAGCTTAAGGGGACGTGGGGGAGAAATCTGTTCCAGCCATGTTATAATTTTGCCAAAGCTGGAAAAAGTGTGTTAGCTCCATATGTGATGATTTTAAAAATGGACCACAATCCAACACCCAGGAAATGGTTTGCTATTTTACTGTTTAGTTTGGTATATAATTTAACCTGAAAATGCTTCTATGAAATATCCAGCTATTAGAACAGATAAAATCGCTCAGGATGAAAATCATCTGCTAAACACATAAATGGCCGGAGCACCTCTGATTTGGAAAACATGCCGCAATGCAGGAGTGCCCCCCCCCCCCCTCGTCGTGGGACACAGGACCCGGCATGTGCTGCTGTTGGAGGCCCCCCACAACACGGCGCCATGTAACTCGGGGAGCCTGTGTCGAGCGGTTGGTGTGTCTGCCCCAATCGGAAAACGTGGGGAGGAGCTGTGGAACTGACCTGTCTGGTCCTGCATGGTTCCTGTCACGAAATCTCCCAAAACCGCCCCCCTACACGCACGCTCGAACCCGCCAACCCAGCAACGCCGCACTGCTTGTCCACCTGCACCTGCTGTGTCACGCACATCTCTTTCCCAACGGCTTCTGAAATCGCTGTGTGGGGCCGTCCGTGCAGTTAGCCCCAAGGAATGACACCATCACCTAAAATAGAGGAAAACAAAAACTGACGTTCAGATTCAGTAAAAGCTGCAACTATCCGGCATGTCTTATGCTCTGCCTATGCTGCCCAGTTCCAGTTCTAGCCGGTAGAAAAGGAAAGTAAAGTGACGAGCTCAAGTAGAGGGCAAAGCACAGCCTGCCCTTCTGCAGTGTGACCGCGTCTCAACATGTAAAATGCTAATGGAATCTGCAAGGACCAATCAGCTCGCGTGCCTTCATGGTGCCATAGCAACAGTTACTTAATCTAGTCTATGGTAATTTCCTGTTGGAATATTATGATTAATTCATCAGTGGTTTACTTTAAAAAAAAAAAAAAAAAAATGAAAAAAATGGAGTGATTTGGAATTTGACCACTTTGTCATAAGGTACTCGTACGTGTGGTGTCTAGCTCTGACCGTTAAAGTCCCGCTGCTGTGACTGTCCAGTGCTGTTCACTGAGAAACCCTTTGCTCTGAGGCTTTGCATTTACCTCACAACTTTGTAGGACTACGTTGAGAAGTTGTTTAAACTCATGTGTTGAGACCGTTCGAATTGACGGAATCATCTTCTGTCATGGGCTTTAAGTACAAGCAAAAAATTGTCAGCTAGCAATAGATAAACCAAACCAAACCAAAAAAAAAAAATCTATTTAGTTCAATGCCATTGAAATCTCTTCCTATCTCTGCAAATATTTGTCTTTGAGACCATTGGGGACATGGACAAGTCTGGTCCTTAAATTCCTTTACCATAAGTTTGTCCCTTAACATTTCGGTGAAACATTTTGGCTGTAGTTCAACATTAAAACCAAGTGTTACTTTAAGTTACTGTGGGTGATACCTAAATGTTCCAATAGGATGCTGATAGTGTTCACACGCTAATATCCCTGTCGTGATGAGCGCAGTACACCTACTTTTTCCGGACAGGAGAGAGGTTCCGGTTACTTCATTTTCTTGCATGAAGTAGCCAATTTTTGAAACCATTCTCCCCCTGTATATTCTTCCTTTTCCCCCCAATCTCAAAAACCATGCAGTCAAGGCCAATCTTCCATGGAGACGGAAGCTGTAATGTACAAAAACATTTTCCCGCCTCTTTTCCCCCTTTTTGTCCAATGGCAGCTCCATCTTGTGGGCCGGTAATAGAGTTTAGCACGTATCAGTTTTGGTAAGAGAGCGGTAACCAAAGACTCCGTGGAGTTTCTCTCTCGTTCCGTGTCTCCTGCTAACCCTTCTTACTCCGTCTGCGCTCATTTGAGTTAGTGGCCATATCATATTGGTGATGGCTAGTCTTACATGGAAGTGGACGCCTCACACAAACATTTGCTTGTTCGGACTGAGATGTGCTCCAGGGGCTCCAGATAATGACCAGCCCTTGTATTGGACCCTAAAGCTCCAACTATATATATTTCCATGTATGTCTCAAAGGAGAGCATGATGGGATATGTGAAAATAAGCATTCCAGTGTACATGTACTCATAGTTGTGCAAAAGGTAAACAGCAACATTTCATAACGTGCGTGCAGTTATGCAGCCTCCTTTGAAAAGAACAAGTTGGCTCCATTATTGTCCTCCATCTTCTCTAGCCTTGCCCAGTGTGCCTTCTTGCATAGGAGCTGTTGTCCTGTGGAATACACAAACAGAATGCCGTATGCAATTGAGTTACTAGGACAGCCGGCAAATTATTTGATTCGAAAAAACCTCTTCTTAGTCAGCCAAACTTAAAGCCATAATCCCATGGTGCAGAAGTTAAACTGTCACCCTTGTCTGTGTGAGTTGAGGAGAGAGCACCTTCGGATAGAAGTTGTGTCTTTCAGTAAAGCAAAGGAATGAAGGCCGAGGAAGCAGAACTGTGATAAAGGGCTCCTGTTACGTCTCCGGATCTTGTGCTGATGAGGATGTGTTTACCTTTGTAATGGGTAAATTCGGGGGGGGTTCCTTCCTCACCCAAACCCCTGTGGCCATCCCCGAAGGTTAATGTGTGTGCGAGAGCAAGGTCTAGGACACAGATATGGGACAGACACTCAGCGGACTCATGGTTATTATGAGCTTTGCCTCCTACGGAGCTTATGCATGATATAGGAACTCATCCAAGCCATTGTTTGTTTACTCCGCTTAGATGAGAGAAACTCGCCCGTCCTGAAGGACGAGTATGTCGAGGCGGTTTGTGTTTGCAAGTTGGAGTGACATTCGCCTGCTGCACCGTCTGTTCTTCTTTATTGGCGTGGATCCATTGGAGATGGTGTTGCCTTCAGTGAATGTGTTGGGTGTGTTGGGGTTGTATTACGCCTCCCCCCGCCCCCCGAGCTCAGTGAGCCAGAATAGTCGAAATGAAGGATAAGTTCAGGGTTGCAGCTGGAACGTCCGTGAGGCGAAAACTCAACAGTGTCATAACGGGCTGCGGGGAGCACTGGATAGTGCAGTGGTGTCATTTGGGTTTTAGCTCTGTGCTTTTTTTTCTCTTTATCCTCC